TTTATAAAATTGCTTAAGAACATAATTTTGTGTGGAAGATTTCAAAACAGCTCGCGTCCAACGATGGACGACTATGGTCACCGTTACTTCACAGCAAACGTCCAATTATAGATGACTCTATTTAGTCGTCGGTAATATCGAAAGGGTTAAAGTAGAGTGAGGAAAGGACGCTTGTGATACGTCTATGTCTTTCACTTTCCTTTTCTGCAGTTTACGAGCTTTGGCTCATTACTGCCTCAATCTTTTACTTTCAGCTGTTTTCTCATTTTTATTTCTCATATGGATTTCTCATTTTTACTTTGTTTCTTTATTTGGGTTTCTTAGCCGCCAGGTTTATAACCTGCGTTTCCGTCCCCGCCCCTGGGAGGCGAACACACTATTTCTTAGTTTGTGTATAAGTACATTGTTATAATATACATAGGACGCTTGTGATAGGGGTATAGGACCTTAAAACGAGCGATGGCTACTATTTATACACATACATACCGTTGCCCGAGAAGTCGCGGCTTCTTGCCCGCCGATTAATTTTCGCCCGGGGAAGCCCACAACGCTGCCCGTACGGGCAATCACTGAACGGCACTCTCTTAGAAATTCGTATCTTTGTGTACGTGGGATTAAAGTGTATCGAACGTTATGGAAATTATTTTCATTAAAAATGTTCAATTTCAGCGGTGTTATGGTGTTTAGAAATGAACGGCTCAAACTGGCGTGCACTTTCAGGATGACCCTAATAGAATTAGGCAGTGTGATAATCGCTTAGTGACGCGGCAGAGAAGTCGATAGCGGCGTTCGAGGGCGTCACGCGTATAAAGTATGTCGATGGCCACCATAATCCGCGAATAGTCACGCTCGTAAATAAGCAAAGCGACAAGAGCACTGCGAAATGTGCTGCGAGGGAGCGTATATCCGGTTAGATGAGTCGCTATTCTAGTTCACCCTCAGCATCCACGTTTCGCCCCCATTCTCCGCGGTCACCTTCGCCTCGCGATAGGTAGGGTAACAAGGATTTGCAATGGTAACGACGACGTTTCACGGTTTCTGAAAGCGCGAATATACACGTGCCTCTTACTCAGCGTCTCTCAAACTTTTTCATTGAATTTCCACGAAATCTACGACACACTCGTCTCCTGTTTTAGCGATTCGACGTTACTTCCTACTCGACTTCCGGCAGTTTCGTTTCCGTACGATTGTTTCAGCATACTTGATTTATAGTTGTAGTGGTACTTGCAAAATTTTGAGACTGCGATTGAATTCGTTGCAGATTGGAAAGGTTCGGAAACGAAACAGAATAGAGTATCTCAGTGTTTCTTTCTTTCTTTTTAAATACATACTCTTTACATGCTGGCTTTGTTAGCTCCACAGGTTCGTGAGACTAGGTTATTTAGCAAATAAAATGATATTTATTCGCAACACAATTTTTGATGATAATGACGAGATGAAATGTTCAGAGTTGAGAGTGTCTGCGCGTTCGTACAGCGTGTCTTGTTCAGAATGTCTAGTGTGTTCGTTCAGAATAAATGTCATTTTATTTGCTACATAACCGAGCTTCACGAACCTGTGAAGCCAACAGGTTTAGTCAGTAAGAAATTCCATTGTAAGGAGTAGACTTTTTTCGTGCGTAATTATTTCACTTAACAACATAACAAATTTTGATACACATCTTCCGTATTATACAGGGTGTTCTGACAACAGTGGTAAAACCGGGCAAGGGTTGATTCCTCGTGAAAAATTAAGTCCAAAATCTAAAGTTTTTGCGTCTAAGACTTCGTTCTGAAGAAAATCGAATCGAGAAAAGTAAATAGATCTGCTTCTGCTGGTGTTTGTATTTACAAACATGAGCAATGTTATTATCTGCTTCCGGTTATTGTTACCATCGCGCTGTAACAGTAGTCTCTTTCGATCCGTAACGATATCAAGAACTACGCAAGAATGGAAACACCAGTAAAAGCAGATCCGTCCAATTGAAACTTAGAGTTAGTGCAAGAGTATCGAATAGATTTTCAAAGTCGTTTTCCTCGGACGCAAAAGCTTTACGTTCTTTATTCATTTTTTTACGAGAAATTGCCAACTCCCGGTTGTATCACTATTGCCGGGACCACCCTGTATTTCGGACACACAATATTGAATAATATACGAAAATTTTAAATCTACGAACATTCGGTGACACTAAACAAAAAAAAGGGACATCCTGTATTTCCTCAAATCTTAAAAAATTTCGAGGACAACATTTCTCTATCAATATTGAATAATACACGAAATTCTTAAATCTATAAACATTCGGTAACAATTACAAAAAAAAAATAAAAATGTCAAACTCGTAAGTTTTACAGTAATTCATAAAAATACTTCCACAAATTCTATAACACTGCCAAGTTAAAATCTCCAAGTCATTGTTCAACCGTAGACAAATTTTCCAAACCTTCCAATCTCACAGTTGCCGTACATTTTCTCAAGTTTTCTCGTTCCAATTGTTCGCGTACCATAAATCGAACGTTTCCACATTCGCGAATCTCGTAATTGCAGCAAACATTTCGCGACGCTTTTGGAAATGTTCGGATTTCATAGTAGTGCCAGCCATAATCGGCTAATTCTAACGAGAAGTTTGAGAAACACTGGAACTACGTACAGGGAACGGACCGAATACCATAAAACGTGCTCGACAATCATTGTGCGGAGAGTCATCAACCGTTTCTAGAGGCAGTAAAGGGAAAATGGTATTTCAACTGCTTTCTGCTCTTTACCATGCGAGCCGTGCCGCGTAATTCAGACGTGGCTCCGCTTAAATTTCCGCGCCGGTTAACGCGGCATTCGATAAGGCCAGTCATTACGACTTCGCTCCTTCGACTGCGCGACTTTTAATAGTGCTCGCAAATTTTTTTTTCACTCGAGATAATTCTCTTTCCACCGGGAGCATCGTAACTTATCGCGAGACGTTAGAAATCTGTTCGAGGAATTCGCGTTGCATTACCGTTTTTCATAATACACCATCGTGTACTTTTGTCACTTCGAATTGGTTCGAGTATGAATTATTTATGCGAGGGCAGAA